AAAAAATAATAATGAATGATGTTAATACTCAATTATTGAACTGCATAAACAATGTCGATGAATCATCACCCACGTGGAAAATCATCTTATATTATGTTATTTAATATTATATATAAGATTTTTATTTAAATAAAAAGTGTATATGTATCTTGTGGTAATATTCCTTAAGATGCGCACGCGATTTGTTTTTATTATTTTATGGTCCAACTACTTTTTGAATATCTTATATGATCGCTTATTCAATTTTTTACCTACCTTTTAAGTACTTAATAAATAATTTATTTATTTTTGATATTTTATTACTATGCATAACTTGGTAGTTGGGAACAAACCTTCTAATGTTCACAAAACACGTTATTTGGTTTTATTTTCGTAATTTAGGTCATGTGGAAAAGAGATTAGGGGATGTAAAACTAAATAATTAAATTGTATATTACGCCTAGCTTCTGAGGTAAGGTCAAATTATGAGGAAAAAAAAAATGAAACACTATTTACGGTTAGAAAATCGTTATTTGCGGTTTATAACAAAACTCCTCAAAACTTTCCAAAAAAATCTAAAAACCTCCCCAAACTGCAAAATAGCAAAAAAAAAAAAAAATTGAAAATTCAAAATGAAGCTTGAAAAAGGGTTGGGCTTCGATTTTTTGATTTAATTTCGACTCTTTTAATGTGTAATATGCATTGGGTAGGTCGATTACGAACCAATTTTATGTTAAAAAGGCCTACAAATCGATTTGTATGGTTTTTTTTTCGCAAAAAAATGTTGGAACGCGCAAGATGTGCGCCCAAGGTGTGTACGAACGCCCGTTCCGGGCGTTCAATTAAAAAAAAAAAAAATTGCACTGGACGCCCAACTCGGGCGCCAAAATGCAGCTTGCACACCCAACTTGGGCGCGCACTGCATGAATGGGCGCCCAAGATTGGGCTTTTACGCGTTTTGGGGGGTTTTTGGATTTTTTTGGGAAGTTTTGGAGTTTTAAAGAGATAAAATATTTTTTGTTATAAACCGCAAATAACAATTTTCAAACCGTAAATAGTTAGTCCCAAAAAAAAAGAAAAACCATAATATTTACAACCATTCAAACTATATTATTTTCTTAAAAAAAACTCTTTATTTAATAGGTAAATTTTACACGTTACATAAAGGTAAAATTTCGTAATTTGGTGTTACCTCGGAGGTTGGCTGTAATTTATTCTAAGTAAAAGGACTTATTTTTTAGATGATGGCTTCTCCTTTTAGAAATTGGTCAAAGTCATGAACAATCAAGGGCTAAAAATCGTTTTGCACCCCAAAATATAACAATAGTAGCAATATGCACCCTCACAAATGAAAAAAGACACTATGCACCCTCAAATTAAGAGTAATTTAACAAATTGCACCCTATAGTTAAAATATAACGTTTTCACATTTTTATGGCAAAATCCAAATTAGCAACCAAGGGTATATCAGCCATTCAAAATTTTTTTTTCACTCACGTACTAGACACATAAATTTAAAAAGGGTAAGAATGTCATTGACTTAAATCCTATTTTACAATTATTTTTTCTTCTAGTATTATTGTACCCAAACAGCCAAGCCACCAGACGCGGAAGATTATTCCTTCACAGTTGAGATTAAAGATTAAGGTAAACAAATCTGATCCAACTCAATTTCTTATCCTACTTATTTTCGAAATGATATTGAACCAGAAATATTATACTAGATTTTCTGTTGTAGTATTGTAACAACAATGACAGAACAATTGCAAAGCAAAGGTGATTTGAACGAACCCATGTGTGCCCAATCCCCAAACTATGGTGAGCTGATATTGCCGTTTATATATATATCTAAATGCAAACTTTTCTACATATGCCTATATGTGTATGAATATATGTAATAGTTATTATTTTTGTTATATTTATCATTGGGTGGTGGATTATACTGTAGTAAGTTAGAGAAATACTTTATATTATTTAGTATTTACACACAAGTTAAGTTACAGAGAGTAGAAGTTATATCATCAATTATCAATGAAACAGTTGGCCGGGTATTGGACAAATCATATGATTTTTTAATAAATTTATTTTTTATTTTCGCATTCATTTGTTTATAATTTGTCTACATCTGCTCATGCATACATAATAAGCGTATTTAAGATATTGTAGTGTATCATTGGCGTTGCATCTTCTATTTGGATACACGAATGGAAGGATGCCAAACTCTTATTCTAATGAGAATAGGTTTTAAATTTATGTGTCTAGTATGTGAGTGAAAAACAATTTGAAATGGCTGATATACCCTTGGTTGCTAATTGGATTTTGTCCTAAAAATGTAAAAACGTAAATTTAACCTATAGGGTGCAATTTGTTAAATTATTCTTAATTTGAGGGTGCATATTGTCTTTTTTCATTTGTGAGGGTGCATGTTGCTACTATTGTTATATTTTGGGGTGCAAAACGATTTTTAGCCACAATCAAGAGATTCAAATTTTATTATATTCACTATTTTCATTATCGAACAAAACAAATAATGGGATAGTCAACTCAATCGAGTGAGTGCAATGAAACTTTAATACATTTCATTAATTAATCATCAACAATATAATTTTAACATAAATGGGATGAAAATGAAATTTCCAATATAAAAATACAAAATCCGATTTTCAGCATAAACCCCTGTTTTACGACTTGTAAGATCATTTAAAAAAATTATAGGCTAACCGTGTGTAACGAGCTATATCGACTAAAAAAAACCTTGACAAAAGTTTCAGACGAGGCAAATCTACACCAATTAAACTACCATGCAAAATGTGATTTAATTATTTTACTTGATGAGAGAGGGGTTATCATACACGTTCTTTAGACAATAATTATATTCGTAAAAATACTATTATATTTTATTTTAAATATTATTTTAATTATTTAATAATATACTCTCGTGCAATACTTTGAAGTTTGAACCGAAGTTTAACTTATTTTCTTATTTTATTCAAATTGACATAGTCTATTTGAGTTGATTGGTGGATTCACATCACAAACACGTGGTTTTAAGGATTTTTATAATACAATTAATTTATATTACATTTTATTGCTGTTAATATTAATTTATACCAAAATTATTTATCAGAGGCATCTTTATGCAACCAATGGATATTTATGTCGATTTCCCATAATATAGGGGTATTTTTCTCAATTAATCTAAACACAAGAGCGTTGAATGCAATAAATGCCTGATTCCCAATAATGTGTATATATAATATATAGTTCTGTATACTGAATTTCCATTTTTGATCCAATTCTAATTTCTAATATAATTCCAGCAATATATGCTAATAAAAACTTCGTCTACTTAAAAAGATAATAACAATAACAATAATAACAATACAGTTACGCCATGGAATGGCATGAATCGTCACAATACCTAAAACAAACTTATCTGGTCGTTAACTGCTTAACGACACACGAATTATATATATTATATTATATTAACGAAGCAATAATAGATTGAAGCCTGCATCTGTGACGAACCAAATTGCATTTAATATATCAGTAATACGGCATGTAGCGGCCTGGACGCCTGAACCTTGGTGCCTTGCTGCAAGTCAATGTTATGAACACATGTTATTTATTTTAATTAATTTTGAAGTGGCTAAAAACACAAGCTTCACTAAAAACGTAACTTATACTCGTCAATTAATATTTTTTTCTAGTCAAAATATGCATAAGAATTGCGACTATTGAAAGAATTTTGCGAGTTCATGAACAACTAAGAAAATGCTCAAGCTCGAAAAACTCGAGTTCGAGTTTGAGCTTTTTTTGAGCCGGCTCATCGAGCTCGCGAGTCGGCTCGGCTCGTTTAGCACCCTTATGGTAGTGTACTTCCATCTTAAATAACAAATATCTTAGCAAGGGTAAAAATGTCATTTACTAAATGGCTGAAAGAGAGAATAAAAAAACAAACTTACCCGTAACCATACGGAGAATAGAAATAAGGGGGTACATAAGGCCTCCTAAATCCATATGAAAGGTAAGGGTTAAATCGTCTTCCGCGAAACTGTTTCATTCCAGGAACATTAGTCCTTTTTGCCATAACCTGCAAAATATTACAAATTAAACAATTACAATAAATAAACATCCAAGCATTTTTTTGCACAAAAAAAAACAATATATTTATTCGACCTTTAATTGGCGTCCATGTAGCTCAGACTCGTTCAGTTGCAGGGCTTCTTGAATAGCTTCTTGTTCAAGAAATTCAACGTATGCAAAACCCTTTGGCTGCCCAAATTTATCGGTCAAAATTGTCACTCGGTTTACCGTTCCGCACGATTGAAAATGCTGCTGAACTTCCTCAGGAGTACATGCATAATCCACCTGTAGCACAATATTCAGTAAGTGTAAGTTAATTGACAAAAAAAAAAAAAAAAAAAGAGAAGGGGTCTGTAATAGAACGACAAAATTTTCATTAAACTCTTCGTTCTGTTTTTATCTCTTTTGATTTCTTTCAAATTGCATTGCAAGACATGCAAGAGTTTATAATAGCGTTCTTCCACAGATAGTTCATATGCAATTGTGAAACCAATGAGCACGGAAAAGAAGGCATATCATCCTTGTACAGTTTCCATAGCACGAAGAAAGAAACATAAAAATTCCAGTACAATTTACTACTGCAATTTTATTGGTATTATAGCTTGTTTTCTGAAGTACAAATATCCTACCCGACTCATAAGACGACCCAAAATCTTTATATATTCAAGCACAAAAACAGTCACTAACAGACAAATGATACTTTAAATGCAGAAAAAATCATTATTTTTCCCCTCTCAAGTCTCACTATAAATAATCAAATGATAATACCCCGAAATAAGCAAGCAAAAACGTGGGCTCTTTCATATTTTTTTCATATTTTTGCCTCTCCCACCTAAAATTCTTCCATGAATCGAACTCTAATACCCACAAGTCATTTTCTTGACACGTTATTCAAATCCCTTCAGAAACAACTCACGTGTGATGAATCATAATACAGTTAAACAAATCAGTACTCACATAATAACTATTTAAGTTGTAACACAACGGAAGGAAATCTCCGCAAAAGCTAGACTTAAGCCCGAGGTTGTGTCCCAGTATCGCAAGGAAGTGCAATTTTCTCATAACATTATCATGTTCTCATTTTCTTTCTAGCAAAGAATTCAAACGGATACGGCATCTAATAAAAAAACCTAAATGAGAAGGAAGCGATATGCAAAGAGTTGAAAGAGGGGTAACAAATGATGCAATGCACTACATATCTGATGAAATCTCAACTAAATGATCCAAAGGAATTAGTACGTCACATCTTTTAATTAAACAATGGCAAGCAAATTTATTTGTTATATCAAGGGTGTTCAAGAGAGAGACTTCTTCAAATGGTTCTTTGGCACTGGTCTGGGGTAAAATAGGGAAAAAGCAAAATAAGGTCAAATCCAAGTAAATACACCTCACCGCATCTGCTTCTATAACAAACCACCAGCTCAATCAGCAATCAAGAACGTAGCCACCAAAGTGATGTGGCAGTCACCAGCCTCGACTCTTCAGATGCACAGCAAGGATTCATCTTGGAGAACATAATGACTACATTTGACCTTTTAAGTCATATATACATGTGTAAGATACATAACTAATCGCCTGATAGTAGCACGAAACTAGAAAAAATTGCATCATGTCTCGTTCGCATTATCACTTTTTTCTTTTCTTTTTTTTTTGCTTTTTTTCTTTCTTTCTTTTTTTTTTCTTTTTTTCTTTTTTTTTTTTTTTGGGCTTTTTTTTGTCCCCATCCTTGAGACTTTTTTTTTTCTTTTATCAATTTTACATGGGGAATTTGCAATACTTTTCAGCTCATTACTAACTTTTTTCCCTTTTAATACAAACTCGTAATATTACAAATATGCAGGTACAGAGATATTTTATCAGGCAAGACCACTTAATGGCAGAAGAATTGCTTTCATCATCACTATATAAGGCTAATGGCAATGTTACTCAGGGATCTGACCAGCCCTGCGATCAGTGAGAAGTATTAAATCCAAAAGAGGTCTAAATAATGTTAAATCAAAATCTTTTCAGATAGCATCAAAGGATAATCACGATAACAAACTACTCTATTTGTTAAGATAAATATTCAGAAATTGAAAGAAAAATCAGTATTGGACATTGGTGCTCGTTTACTCATCGAAGTTTTCTTATGGGATTGACTGACAGCTTGAGGGTTAGTTATACAAAAAACATGCACACAAGGTATCTCTATTCCCAGCTATGTTGCATCTAAGATGCAATAAATCTAGTACGTATAGTAAGAGGGCAAACAGTATCACTTACTAAAGAAATGAATAATATATGTACAGATAGTACGGGATTAGGTGACTAACATGAAGATTACTATGATTACAAGCGTGCAAAAAAAAAAAGAACAAAAAATCCACAGATAGCATACAATATATAGGCCTCGTTTGGTTGCCAAGATAAGATTAGCTAAGATAAAATTAAATAATCTAATGAAACCCAATTGTAGTATTGGACCTTGGAAGATCCAATAAAAAACATGCCTAAAAGACATGATAACATAATATTTGCGGGTCGACCCGGCAAGTTATTGGGGATACCAAACATCAAACAAAGTCCCATTACTTCAGTTAATCATGGCTAATCTCCCCAACCAAACGAGGCCATAGCATATTAGACAAGATAAAACTGGAACTAAATAAGTTGAATGAGAAAGATGCATAAAGTGAAATCGGTACTCACATTTCCAACATAGACCGACCGTGAATCCACCTCCTCCTTGCTGGCCGCAGAAGCAGCAGCACTAGCAGGGTCTATTCGAGAAAAAAAAAGGGGAAAAGTAAATAGATCACTCAAATGTAGAACTTTCTACAAACTAAAATGTAACAAATATACTGCATTCTATCTATCTATCTTCTTCGAGTCCTTGCCAGTTAAAGAACCCGTTGTTGATAATGGTTATTCTTTTGCATGCCTTTTTTTACCTCTCAGATTTACATTATTCGCCGTCTATCTTTCAAAATAATTAAAAAAAATATTCCAGTAAGTCATATGGTGTCACTTTTATTGGTAAAATTAACTAGATGACAAATATTTATGGGTAAAATTTCTAACTATATGGTCTCTCTCTCTAGATTAGCCAAAAATAAACAAAATCGAGACTCGATCCTCAGCTTAAACGCACTCCTGCACATAATAGATGCTAACCATTGGCAATGGCAACACAGCTAAAAGAAGTGGAGTTCATGAGCAATAACAAATAGCTAGCAACATGAGAAATCATTTGCGTACATTCGAATTTGTTTATCATTCACCAAACATTTCAATATTTTCCGTTCTATTAGATAATCAATCAAAAGATTAACCTTTTTAGCATCAAAATCAATAAACTCAGAACCAAAAAAATCAATAAATTCAGAGCAAAAATCAGAGAAAAAAAAAAGAAAAAAACCTTGAGCGGCGCCCATCTCCTTCTCAACCTTCGCCTGCATTTCACGGAGCGCCGCCGCTTCCTCCTCCATCTCCTTCAATCGCTTCTTCATCTCATCCAATTCCTGAAAAAACACCAGATCCAATTAAAATTCGCACACATCCGAAACACGATCAACGCGTATTACAACACGAATTATGAAATTGAAAAAACGAAATTATAATAAACCTTGGAGGCGGCGTCTTCTTCAGCTCCGGGCATTTCGACGTCGGCGTCCATTTCTCCTTCGTCGGGAATTTCTGCGCCGTACACCTCGTGCTCCTCTTCCTCCATCAATCTCTCTCTCTCTCTCTCTCTCTCTCTCTCTCTCTCTCTCTCCCCTCCACTGTGAATTGCAAAAAGGGATAACCCCACGGCCGAGCTCATTATGACTGTTAAACATGGGCTTTTCAATTGGGTCGCGAAGATCCGAAAAGATTGATCCGTAAATATAGGTAGGCCCGTTGATGTAAATGTTTCAGTAGTCTTTTCCAAAATTTTATTAGATTATATAATCCAAATTTCCAACCATGAATATTATTTTATTCAATTTAAATATTCATCTCATATTGAACTATTTAATATAAATAATATAGTTTCCAAAATGTATAATTAATAGGCTAAATTACTGTCACCCCACCCTGAGCTAAGGTTAAATTACGAAAAACACCCCTCGTGTTTGGGTAAGTACAATAACCCTTGAACTATGAACCTTTTTATATGTCCGAGGAATGTTCTCTAATTTGTACTCGTTTTGTACAAAAATGCTGCTTCTGATGGTGCCACAATCTGATATTAACAAGCCAAGAGACACATCTTACGATCATTTTGTTTCAAAATGTGGAGCTCAAATGGGATACATCAAGTACAAACAGGAGAATATTCAACATAATCTATAAGATTTTACTAAATTTGATACCGCGATGATGGACGTGTAAGAAAATTCATAGTTGATGAATTGGTTGTAATTATCAAAACGTGGGAATTTTTTTTCGTAATTTGACAGTATCTCAGGGGTGGCTAATTAATACACTTATATTCATGTAGCCTAAAATATGCCATACAAAGACACAAAATTAGGGGAAAATAATAATAGTAACACTAATTGGCGGTTTGTAGCTCGATACATCATTTATCAAATCATATGCTATGAACATAAGTTACAAAAATCAACCATTCACTGACAATTTCATTTTACAAATTACTATCATTGGTTAATGTAAAACAAATTAAATTAGTAAAAGCAAGAGGGTGTTTGGCTAAACTTATTTTAAACAATTGATAAGCTCTTACGTCTGATAAGATGTTTTAAAAGCTGATAAGTTGTTACATCTTATTTTTAGGATTAATTTTTAGAGTGTTTTGATAATGGACTTATTTCCTATTTTTACTCATTAAAAGATATTAAATAAAAAGGTGGGTAGATGTAATTATTTAAAAAGATCTTATTTGCTCTCCAACAGCTTATTTTAAAAAAAAAAGATATTTTTCTAAAAAATTACCAAACACTTTGGAAGAGCTTATAAAATCTAAAACATCTTATAAACTTAGTCAAACACCCTCTAAGTATAAAGTAATTTGCAACAAGATTCTTTAAAAAAAAATACACACACATACAAAATAGTTGCCTTTTAATGTGGCATTTTACAAACAAAACACACGAATTCAAAGAGATTTGAACTCCCGACCTCTCACCAAATTCCATTAAAGTAGCAATTTCAAAACCACTCGGACAAAACCTTAGTAAGTTGTTCAAAAGCACTTATTCAAACTATACTATATATGCACCCTTAATCCTTAGCATTACCCGCAAGAAAAGCTCTAATCATAGGCCTAAACTTTTCCTTAGCTTTTATAATACCCAAAAACATAAACCTATACAAAACAACCATACCAAAGAGAATAGCAACATCAATCCACTTAGAGTACCCCATCTCCACTTGCCAAACATTCCTCAAGATCTCCTCCCCCGTTATAGTTGCCGCACCTCCCGCCAGCTCGTTCGGGAACGTAAGCCCCTCGAACTCGTTCTTGAAGAACCCTTGGTCCGCGTACTTGTGGAACGCGATATTGTACATAGGGTACCTCCAGAACGGCTTCGGGAGGTCGTCGGGCAATCGGAAGAAACCCCCGTTGAGCATCATTACCCCTTGGATCCCGGCCCCCGTTATGATCCCCATGAGGAAATCGGGGACCACGCTCGCGACAATCATCATTAGGCTCTCGACAAGCATCATGCACGTGAATAGGACTAGTAAGAAGCATACGAAGTGGTCGATGCTTTTTTGCAAGCCGACCAAGTAATATGCCATTGCGCCCGGTAGTAGTGAGATAAGCAATAAGTACGGGATGGAAGATATTGTATTCCCCACGACGAATGCGGCCACGCCGTAGTGGCCGTTCAGTCTTTCTCGTGTGAAGATCTGCAGTTATAGTAATACATACACGTATATAAGGGGTGGTAACGACATTTAGTATCCGGACCCGACCCATTTATTAATGGGCGGGTGAATATACCAAACCGGTCGAATCAATTGTCTAACCCTAGGAAATACGATTAATTATTAAAGAAAAAAAAAGGATATACTGTTAAACCTCCATAAATTAATACAGTTGAGACCAGCAAAATTCTATTAATTGAGTGAAATATTAAATTATCGAACTAATAATTTAGTTGTTTTTTAACGAGTCGAGACTAGGATAAACTATTATTTAAGCGAGATTATTAATTTATCAGATATTAATTTATCAAATATTAATTTATCGAGGTTCTACTGTATATATAAAGACATTATTACCTTCATGTCCTCGACGAAAGAAGGGAAGCCACCAATCGCCATGAAGGTCAAGAAAGCGGCAACGAAAAATAGCATCGAGCCTCTAGCCTGCGAAAACCAATCGCAAAAAAAATTCATCAATTAGTTTATTTAAATTCTCATCAATATAAAAGTTCATTAAAAAAGAAATTAATTACCTGAATTGATCCATAGCTATGGCCAATGTCATAATATATAGTTCCTACACACAAGCAAAGTGCGATATATATCGCTAGACGAAGCCAATAGTAGCCGAGATCACGATACATGTTCATAAACGATCTCTGAGTTAGAACAACGCATTGAGTAATAAATCCTGCATGGCTTCCCTTCTTCTCCAATGCTTCTCCACTCTAAATACAAATTTCAAAACGAGTAATTGATATATTCGAATGAATACTTAGATATATTCGACGTTAATGCGCATGTAGTTATATATGTATACCTTTAGACATATATCTTGTACTCGTTTTTGAACGTGATCGTAGGCATTTGAAGACTTGTACGAATCAGAAAGTACGTTGACTGCTTCCGTTGCAGTTATGGTTCCGTCGAGTCCTTGTTCGATATCCTATACGTACAAAAATCAGTTGTGTCCAATTTCTCGAAACAACGTAACAAAATAAAACTAATTAAGAGAGAGATTATTTATTTAATTTCTGAATTTAATTACTCACAACATCAAAGTCTTTGTTAATTGTCCTGAGATAGTGGTCTGATGGATTCCTCATTGATGGGCAAGGAAAGCCATTTGAAGCAAAAAACTGTTACACAATCACAAGAAAGTATAAATATTTTTAGCCAACTAATTAGTAATACTTAGGGCAAATTACGGCCACCCCTGAGGTATGGCAAAATTACGAAAAAACCCCTTTTGTTTTTGCTGTAATTACTAATTACCCAAACAGGAGGGATTTTTTCGTAATTTGACCATACCTCAGCGGGGTGGCCGTGATTTGCCCGTAATACTTATAAAAGTGGAAATCGGACGTGTTTGATCGGAATAATATACTTTTCGTTGAAAAAAAAGATTGAAGTGAAAAACGTTACCGAATTTGCAGCCGAAGTCGAACCAAAGTAAACAACTCTGCCAGATGACAAAAGGCAAAGATTATGGAAGAGATCAAAAACCTCCCCGCTCGGCTGATGAATCGAGACAACGACCGTCCGTCGATCCTGCCGCACGATTTTAATAATACGGCTCATGACATGGTAAGAAGAAGCACTGTCCAAACCGCTCGTGGGCTCGTCCAAAAATAGAAGTTTGGGCCTTGTCAGTATCTCGATGCAAATGCTCACTCTCCTCTTTTGTCCACCGCTGAGCCCTTTCACGCTCCACCCTCCGATTCTCGTGTCCACCGCGTCTTGTAGGCCCATCTCTTTGATAGTGTCTTCGGCCCGTTTTTTCTTTTCGGAGTTGGACATTGTGTTTGGGAGCTGGAGGAGGGCGGAGTAGTGGACCGCTTCTCGTACGGTCAACGTTGTCATTAACGTGTCGTCTTGAGTCACGTATGCCTTGAAAGTAGATTTTGATTGTAGTTAAGAATATCTATCATATGTTAAATTAAATTGTTGGTAAGTTTAAAATCATGAATGAATGTTTTTCTTACAGAAGTGCCAAATGCTAGTGCTTTCTTTCGGCCGTTGATTAGAATATCTCCCTTCTGTCTTGTGTTAGAATCTAGCCTCCCTGAAATAAGAATTAATGTTTTTAATTACCACTTTCCAAACATCAAATTGATGATAAATGTGAAAAGAATATAATCTTATATGCATGGATACTTCAATTCCAAAAAATACAACATAGGGTAAATTACGAAAATATCTTTCTTTCTTTGTAATTTGAGTATTTACAATCACCCCTCAACATAATCTTCTAGATTGCGTGGAATATTCTTCATTTGGTACTTATTTTTTTTTTTTTTTGAAAAAATACAGTTTCTGATGCACCAAAATTAAATATTTACAAAATAATAGACACATCTTATGATAATTTCAAAACGAGGAGTTCGAATGGGATAAAATAGGTACAAACTGGAGAATAGTTACCGGCCAATGCATTGAGAAGAGTAGACTTTCCACAACCAGAAGGCCCCATGACAGCTAAAACCTCACCAGGCTCAACGTAACCGCTAACTCCCATCAGAATCGGCCGCCGCCCCTCCGCCGCCGCCGCCTTCTTTTCCGGCACCGTCACCCACAAATCCTTCCACGTCAGGTAAATCCCACCTCCCAAATTTCCCAACGCGGCCTCCGGCGCCGCTCCATTGCCGGAGCCAGCATCGGAAGACGGGCGGCGGATGCTGAACGGAAAACCCAGTTTCGAGCTGTTGGCCGCCGGCGTAATTTCATCAGTATTAGTATCGTGGCTTATGACGGGCTTCTTGATCGGGCTCGGGCTAGGTGTCCATCTTGGAACACTAGTTGCATGAGAATCCATTATTATAATTTCTCCAACTAGGAAAACACTGTTTATATACTTTATAATTCATGCAATATATATATATATATATATATATATATATATATATATATATATATATATATATATATCCAAACATAAAGTGCGGGTCAGTCCCCAACAACATTTTTTAAGCATATTGGACCCTAAATCAAACATAAATATGCACTTAACTCCCTAACTGGTGTGCAAAGACCGAAAAACCCTTCACTTTATTTTGAAATTACCTGCAAATTCTGACTGCAAATTCTGACACAACTTTTCACCTACTTCACGCGTCGGTTGAGAATCACGCTCCATACCTTTCAACTATCCGTTGTCATTCAATTTTCGAACCATTTCCTCAGCGGTTTCTTGCAGTTTTTCTTCGTGCAGCGATTCTTCAGGTTTTTCGGTTTTTGTTTGCTTGTATAAACAAGGCGGAAAGTAGACAGGAAACTAAAGTAATAATATTCGAAGTAGAAGAATGGTGAAGACAAACAAGGGGAAGGAGAAGCAAGGTTTTTTTTTTTTTTTTTTCAGGAATGGATAATGAAATTTGTTGTTGTTTATTGTTGCTGTTAGCAAAAAACAAACTGCATGTTCTCATATTGAATGATTTTGAACATTTCCAGTAGTGGGTAGTATCCAACGGCGAGATTGGGGTTTTCTGAAATAAAAAAATCGAACAACTGGTTCCAATAAAATGTTGTTTTCTTGTTTATGGTTGCAAAAAATTGTTCATTTTCTGTGGAATTGCATGATTTTGAACACTTTCGCTCTTGGGTATCATTCGTCTGAAATATTAGTATTTTCCCAAATCACTTTTTGTCATAACAAGGGTTTGATTTTGGGCATTAGATGTGTTTAAATAATATAAGTCTTACTACACAACGGTAGTGCTATTGTAGTTAGAAGGTATAAAAAAAGGTAATGGCAGTTCTTCTGATGTACTTAAATAGTATATGTCGTATTGCCCAACAGTATAAGTACTGTAGGTGTATGGTATTGATACAATATAGTGACGGTATAATTACAATACCTACATAGTACCATTGTTATTTTACAATTGTATTTTTTCTGATTATTGTTTTTCCTTTATAATCGTAATACACTTGCAGATGATGACGCCCAACAAGCATGCAGGTGCTCTCCTAGCGCCTTTGTTAAGTGTATATTTTTACACTTTATCGTATCTTTTTATTTGAGCTATTGGTGTGTTTTAACGATAATTGGTGCTTAAAAAGTTGATTTATTGTATTTTAGGTACAAATTGAAGAATTGGAAAAGTATGGGGTCAAAACTGTAATTTTGGAGAAAATATGGGTCAAAAGTGAAAAAATCAAAATTCTGAAGATGTAAAGCTCGGACCCCCGTCCCAGTTTTAGTGCAATTCGTGGGACCCCCGTCCGAGACTCCGAAGTTGCGCAGTAAAGGGATTTTAATTGCACAAGGAAACTGCCTTCTTCCCCAAGTTCTTCACCCTATATAAGACCAACCCAAGCACACAATTAGGGATCATCTTTAAACGAAATTTTACACCACAAAACACGAAGAACGAAGATCAACGAAGACTCAAGCATAGTTTTTCTTATTTCTTTTATTTTTATTTTGTTTATCATAAGAATTACGAGTAGCTAAGTTTTTAATCTAGGATTTTATTGGAACCATATGTGGTAATTCGAACCTATTTTTCTTCTTTTATGCAATGTATAATTCTTCGATTATTTCTTCTATCTTGATCTTATTTAGCGCATGAACGTAGCTAATTTATGTTGCTATTGGTTATTGTTAGAATTGATTGACAGATCGTTTTAATAATTAGAACAGGGATAGAAGAGCCTTCGAGTAGTCTTTCACCGAATGCGTGTGTTGATTGCATGTATTATCGTAGACATACAGATAATACCTTAGGTAGCCGTTTTCGAGACTTGTTATTTAATGCTTTATTCATACTAGGTTTGCATAGGCATATAGTGAATCTTTTATGAATAATAGGCTTATAATACAGCGACAGCTGGTTATGAGTAATTCCGTGTCTTGGGTTAATAATCGGGAATCATAACTTGCATGATAGAAGATTAATTGGGTGAAGAATTACCGCATAGGGGGAAGATAAAATCCTAGATCCGTTTTATATTGATATTTTCTCGTGTTTAATTGCTTTCTTAATTAGTTTATTTTATTTAGTTAATTAAATTGACAACCCTGCGTAGGCTGAATAAAAATCATAATTGTTAGGATTTGGTACTTAGGATTAGGTAATTTGCGTATTCCCTGTGGGATCGACATCCGACTCTCACGAGTCTACTTTACTACTTGTTTGCGATACGTGCACTTGCGTGTGGGTATTTAGCACCCAACAAGTTTTTGGCGCCGTTGCCGGGGATTAAAACTGCAATTTTGGAGAAAATATTTTGGCGATGTTACTTGAGGACAAGCAAAAGTTCAAGTTTGGGGGTGTGTTAAGTGTATATTTTCAAAGAACAAATGGACATAATTAAACCTATGATGACGGCCAGACACTATGCTGCATTGGAGGAAAATCCTTTCGGGCATTTCTTAAACATGCCTAAGATATACCATAGTTTCTTAAAGGTGTCTGTTCTGTTGAAGAGGACATACAACGTGGAGACACGTACGTTCTGGTTTGGAGGTAAAACTATCCCTGTCGTCTTTGATCCTAGGGAGTTCTGCATCATGATGGGACTACAGTTTAAGGGGATACCCATCGATAAAAACCTGGAAATAGAAACTCCTTTCATTAGACGTGTTTTTGGGGGTAAATTGACCCAAGTAAAGCGTCATCAAATTGCTGAAAAATTGGAAGAGTATGCTGTTAGGACCGACCAACAATCAATTGAGGATTTTTGTAGGTTGTACATTATTTTCGCTTGCAATACTTTCTTATTGCCAAAGGGCAACTTTCAACTGCCGAGGTACGTTTATCCACATGTTGACAAATTGGAGCGCGTAGGAGATTTTGCGTGGGGAAAATTGGTGTATGATGTGCTCATTGAAAATATTGAGGCACACTTGGCTGGGGCAGGAGGGTATTTTGATGGTTGCACCATTGGGTTGTTGGCATGGGTGAGTGAAAGGATCACTTCTCTGGGATTCGCAACAAGCGTTTTCGAATACCCAAGATTTTTTCGATGGTCCGACTCTAAAATACCAGCCGACGAACGTCAGGCTAAACATCTTTTTAGAGAACTCACACCAGACAAGGTAACAATTTTGATTTATGCATTTTCATTGTGTTATTTGCTTACGTAATAAACTAATGCACAATTTGTCTATATGTTTATTAGGTGATATCATTCTCCGTGCACAAAGAAGAGAGAAAGTTTTTGGTTTCACCTGTGGAAGAACTATCTGGTCCTGTGGAGGTCGGTGGAAAAGTCGAAGTCAGGCGTGTAAGTGAAGAGTACTATTAATGAGATGGACATGTCCCATTTGTAAACCAACGTGATGTTGTTGTATTACACTAATCATTGTTTATTTTATGTGAACTGCAGCAGCATTTTGAAAATGCACAACAAGTGAAGAGGAAGAATGTGAGATTGGAAGAGACAGAGGGGAAGAAGAAGAGAAGAAGAGCTCTTATTTTTGAAGAGGAAGAGGAAGAGGAAGAGGAGCAAGATGAAGGGAAAAAAGAAGTGGAGGAGGAAGATAAATTTTTTAATGCTGTTGAAGAACTTGGAGATGAGGAAAAAAAAGAGAAAGAAGGAGAACAACAAGAAGAAGATGAAGAAGAAACCTTGATAAAAGTACTGAACATGGAGAGGGAGAGAAGGTCGAAGGCAAGAGAAGACAATCGAAGAAGAAAGAGTCGAGGACAAGAAATCAGCGTAGTCTCTGCTAAACTGCCCACAACAGTAATTATTCCTTATAATTTAATAATAACTATTATTATTATTATTATTATTATTATTATTGTTATTACTATTATCACTAATGATTCTTTTGGATATAGGTTGTCGTAGATAATTCTACGTACCAGGGGAGAACAGACTATGTATGCCGAGATGAGCTTACTGATGTAGAGAGGGCAGTACTTGATGGGTACCTCGTTGATGTTGATTTGAGGTAAAATCACTAACTTACTGAACATTTGGTATATAATAACTTCTTATGTAGTATCGGCGTACTTAACAAATAGTGCATGTTTATTTCTATTGTAGTGCAACTGTGATCGAAAGAGGCCCCAACGTATTGACTGGAAAGCATATGTGCGATCTTTTGTTTGATCAGCATCTGAGTGGGGAGCACATCGACATATACATGAGCCTGTTAAATTCCGAAGCGATCATGGAGGAACATGGGCATGAGATTGATTATCTCGAGACCCCTGCCCAGGTATATATTGGTTTAACAAAGATGTTGCATTCTGTGTATACTGGTTTATCTTATATTTTTTTTATTATGTTTCGTAGTATGAGATACTGGCACGAGATCGAATGGACTTCAGAAAGATGGGTGATACAGAGTTGGATACCTTTTTAAAGAGCTTAACATATTTTGGATCTACCGCAGTTGAGAAGCTTGGAATAGCACGTCTCTACAGCAAAAAATATGTTCTGATACCTATAAATCCCAAAGATCACTGGTTCTTGCTTGTGTTGGACCCAAACGAAAAAGTTTTTCGGCATTGGAACTCCCTAGCCCATTCTCCGACGAGCCCAGGAATTGCAGATTATATCGTAAGTCCTTAAATCGAATATCCTTTCGACTCAATACCTGCACATGCATGTTTGCACGGAAGTTTATCCAACTGCCAAGATTTGCAAGTACAGGTCCTAGTCTCTAAATCAACACCATACGACTTATCCTCTTCATACACCTCATAACGCGTACCACTGGATCTGGTATATTTTAATAAGCGAGAGGCCGTATAGTTGATTAATAATCTCTTTTCAACTCTTGGACACACTGTACCAGTCATGACTAAAGAATCTTCTCGTCGATTACCTATCATCTTCATTATTTTGATTCGTATCATATCAATCATGGATGGAACTGGCAAAGATCGTTCATCTTTAACCCAACCATTCCAACATTCAACTTGGTTACTGTTCATTATTCCCCATCTATCCCCAGAAAAGTATGCATTGGCCCAACGATTGGGA